ATACATACACACAGGGCAGCCCCGGTGGTGCAGCAGTTTAGCGCCGCCTGCAGTCCAGGGTGTGATCCTGGAGAACCGGGATTGAGTCCCACATCCAGCTCTTTGCATGGAGCCTGCTTCTCCCTCTGCCTCTGCCTGTGTCTCTGTCTCCATCTGGGTCTCTCATGAATAAATAAATAAAATCTTTAAAAAAAATACATACATACATACATACACACACACATCTCTTTACAGAATCTCTTTACACTCATAATTCTTTACAGAATCTTTGAACAGTATCTTTTTTTTTTACCTCAACGTAATGTGTAAAGATGTTTCTAGATAAAGCTTTACATGTGAAAAAAGAAAATCCATTGTCTTATACATATACACACACATAAAGACAAACACACTTATTATTTAAGAAGAACAAAAATACATGGTAAGAGTGTGAATTGGATTGGACTGAATTTCTTATAAAGCTTATATAAAAGAACACTACATGAATCTTTGTGTTACCTTAACTTTTAAAGAATAGTTTACTGGAGATAGAATTAGTGATTGACTGCTTTGTTTCATCACTCTGCCTTCTGGTCTCCATTGTTTCAGGTAAGAATTTAGCCATTAATTGGATTATTGCTCCCTCGTTTGGGATGGGTTTTTTATTTCTTGCTGCATTCAAGATTTTCTATTTGTCCTTAGTGTTCAGTAATTTTACAATTTGTGTAGATGGAGATTTTTGTGTTATCTTACTTAGGGTTTTTTGAGCTTTATGGATGTGTAGATTTATGTTTTATATTAATTTTGTGAAATCTTCATTCATTATTTCTTCAAGTATTTTTCCTGCCTCTCTTCTAGATTCTCACTACATATTAGTACATTTTATCTTGTCTCATAGGTTTCTAAGGTTCTGTTTTTATTTCTTCAATATCTTTTCTTCTTTATTCTTTAGGTTGGCTAGTTCCTTTGATCTATCTTCAAGTTCACTGATTCTTTCTTCTGCCATCTTAAATCTACCCATTTAGTTAAGTTTTTATTTCAGCTACTGTGCTTTTAAATTCTAGAATTTTCATTGGTTCCTTTTCTACTTTTCTGTTTCAATACTGAGAATTCTTATTTGAGGATAATTATCATACTTAAACTTTTTAAGTATGTCATAAGCTCCACTTCGGAGTCTTTGTGAGTAAACATAACATTTGGGTTTCCTCAGAGTCAACTTCTATGGATCTTTTTCTCTTGGGTATAAGTCACATTTTCCTATTTCTTTGAATATCCCACAATATTTTTTGAAAACTGATATTTTATATCATATATTGTAACACCTCCGGGTTTTTTCCCCATAAGGTAACTATTGGTTATAGAAATTTACCTAGACTTAATTTGCAGAATCTGTCTCCATGAAATTTGCAGCCCCTGATATCTCTGCTGTTTTTTATTTTTAAATTATTTTATTTTTCTGTCTGACTTCCTATAAGTGCCCTGAGTCTGCATGGCTTACTAGCAAGTCAATGATTCACAAGAGGTTGTGCTCAAGAACTTTGAGCCTATAAGGCTAACACCCTCTACTGATAGATCTGTGTGTGTGTTGAGGTAAGCATTTAAAGTTCAGGCAGCTTTCAAGTCTCCCTGAGCTTTTGCTTTACTCTGGACCTTCCTGGGTGTCCTGTAACCATGAGCATAGCTTCCCATTAGGCCAGAGAGGTAAGGAGAGCTTATCTCACCCGTCCGTCTATGATTCTCTCATTTCTATCATCTCTTCGTTAAGGTTTTGGCTAGTCTTTCACTTGCCATAACTGGGGCTCAAACTCAGTTTAACGAAGCTATGGGAATTCCCCATTCACTTCCTATCACATATGCTACTTTTACTGTTAATGCTGCCAACAATGGGTTTTGACTCTCCAGCCCAAATCAAGTCAGCTTGTTTTAACAGTGAAGCTTCAGGCTTTCTGGTTTTCATAAGGTATCATGCCCTGGTAAGGCTACTTTACTAACCAAGTTTTTGGAGGGGGTATGCAGGAGGAACAGTTACAAGCAAGAAGGCTGAGGATTGTCTGCAGACTTCCACTTTTCTCATCCAAATTTCTAGCAGTTTTTCATGAATAAACACTCTCAATTTCTTGTTTTTTTCTCTGGTGATTTGCAGAGCACTGAAACAGTTGTTTTTGATCAGTTTTTTTTTTTTCCCATTTTATACTGTTTTTTTCAGAAAAAGATTTGTTGGACTCCCCATTTTGCTATAATGGAGTCCTGCCTCTGAATAAAATATTTAAGTCAATTGTTTCAACATGTATCAACAGTGTTGTTGTTTTTTTCCCCCTATTCACCCTGTTTACTTTTCCTCAACAGATTTTTAACATTTTTTTGCCAAAAAAAATAATTTTATGCTTATTTTGCTTTTTCATGGCTTTACTCTAATGATGGGAATAGTCTCTTAAAGATGATTATGAAAGTATTATGACTTATGTTTCCTTTGTCTGTTTCTGACACTTTTCCTTATATCTTTATATTCACATAAAATATACAATGGTGCTGGGATGTCTGGAACTCAGAGGTATTAACCATTTGTTGTTTACTTCTTTTGTCTAAGAAAATCATGAACATAAATGATTATTGTATGCCAAATTTAAGCTGCACACTTTGACATGTGATTTCTTCAGTATTATAGTCTATTAATTAAAGCCCTGTGTATACTGAAATAAATTTCACATGATTTGAAAACAACCTCCACCAAAAATAAAGACATGAAAATTTCTACAACATTATTAACCACTAGAGAAATATAAATACCATAGTGAAATACTACTGAATATCTGCTGGAGTACAAATCTGTGAAGCAACTGGAATTCTCACACATATCTAGTAGGAATTTAAAATGATATGACATGACCACTTTGGAAAATGGTTTGGCAGTATCTTATGGTTAAACATATTATTATCATGTCACCCACTCTTAGGTATATGCCCATAAGAAGTAAAAGCTATGTCCATACAAAAACTACTACAGCAATGTTTATAACATGTTTATTCATAATAATTTCAAACTGATAACAATCCAAAAATTTGTGACTTTTCATTAAGTAGTATTCCATTGTGTGTGTGTGTGTGTGTGTGTGTATCACAATTTGTTTATTCTCTTATTGGCAAACCATTGTACAATTATATGAAGGAGTCTGAAAAACACAATGCAGAGCAAAAAAAAAGCCAGATACAAAAGACTATATACTATGGGATTCTAATTATATGAAATTCTAGAATAATAATTTAAAAAAACCCTATAGTGACAGAATGGATAGCAAGTGTACCTGGGCATGAGGAGAGGAGGATTATCTGCAAAGGAGCATAAAGGAAATTTGAGGGATGAAGAAAATGGAAATGTTGTATATCTTGATTACGGTAGTGGTTATCAGGTCTATATATTTATCAGTAATCATCGAACTATCCCCTTTAATATGGTTGCATTTTAGTATATGTAAACTGTATCTCAATAATTAGGTGCATAAAGTACTCAGTGTAGATGCTAGCACCTGGTAAGCACTTCACAAATGTACTGATGTTTGTGGTGAAATAACATTAGGATGTCAGAGACTCATTCTTCTTCTTGCTTGAAGAACTGGAATTGCAAATTCTCCAGTGTTTTCCCCGTCCGTTGAATATGAAGAACCAGGCTATAGGGGTACTGATTCCACAAGGAAATGGCAGGCAGGTAGAAACTTAACAAGGATTACATTATGGCATATTTTTGTTGTTGCTGCTGCTTTTGCATTTAAAAAAAAATTTGTATTTAAATGTAATTTAGTTAACATACAGTGTATTATTAGTTTCAGGGGTAGAATTTAGTGATTCAATGGTTGCATATAATCCAGTGCCTTCCTTAATGTCCATCACCCAATTACCCAATCCCCCCCCCACCTCCCCTGAAGCAAGCCTCAGTTTGCTCCCTATAGTTAAGTCTCTTACAGTTTGCCTCCCTCCCTGGTTTTATCTTATTTTATTTTTCTTCCCTTCTCGTATGTTCATCCGTTATTTTCTTAAATTCCACGTGTGAGTGAAATCATACGGTATTTGTCTTTCCCTGACTGACTTATTTCACTTAGCATAATACCCTCTAGTTCCAACCACATCATTGCAAATTGCAAGACTTCATTCTTTTTGATGGCTGAGTATTCTTCTTTAACCATTCATCTGTTGATGGATGGACACCTGGGCTTTTTCCATAGTTTGGCTATTGTGGACATTGCTGCTATAAACATTGGGGTGCAGGTATCCTTCCGAATCACTATGTTTGTATCCCTTGGATAAATACATAATAGTACAATTACTGGGCCACAGAGTAGTTCTACTTTAAGCTTTTTGAGGAATCTTCATACTATTTTCCAGAGTAGCTGTACCAGTTTTCATTCCCACCAACAGGTTAAGAGGATTCCCCTTTCTCTGCATCCTCACCAATATCTATCATTTCCTGAGTTGTTAATTTTAGCCATTCTGGTTGGTGTGAGTTGGTAGCTCATTGTGGTTTTGATTTGTATTTCCCTGATACCAAAAAATGTTGAATATTTTTTCATGTATTTTGTTTGTTTAGTTTTGCCCTTGTGTTTTTGCTAAATTGGTGATGTTTCTTAGACATATCTTCAGAAAGAAGATATTATGGTCAGTGGAAAGTATGATAGCTTGGGCTCTAGTCTGTCTCTAGAATCCTGCCCAAATTCATGAACTCTGAGTTTCATTTTTGAAAAAAGTGGATTGAGTTTTATGATCCCTAAGATCTCTTCCAATTTAAAACTTCCAAGTTTCTATGAACACACACATTTGTTGCAAATAATATCTGCAAAAGTAATTCAACTTTCACATTTCTGAATCTCTCTCTTTTAGTGCATTGTATTTCTGGACTCTCTCTGCTATACTCCTTTTTTCTACAATTAAAATTTTAATTATGTCCCACTTCCTCAGAGTGTTGCTAGGCAATAGGAAAGAATTTATTGATCTATTACTACCTAAAAAATCACTTCAAAACTTAGTGGCTTAAAACAACAACATTTATTTTGCTCATGAATCTGCAGCTTTAGGGCTCAGCAGGGACAGCTCATCTCTGTCTCACTTGGCAGCAGCTGGGGCAGCTTAAAGGCTGGAATTCTCTGAAGGATCTTCATTCACATGCCTGGTGCCTAGACTAGGAAGTCTCAGACAGCTGAAGGCTGAAACAGCTAGAGCCCAAGCATCTTTACGTCCATGTTTTTTTTCTCCACATGGCCTTTCCAGCATGGTAGCTTCAGAGTACCTGAATTTCTTACATGTTGGCTCAGGATTCCAAATATGCATACAGAGAGAGAGAGAGAGACAATGAGTTTTAGGCAAAAGCTGTGTTGCCTTCCCTACCCGTTTGAAAAGCCACACAGTGTCAGTTCTGCCTAATTGTGCTCATTTAAAGTGAGTCACTAAGGCTGCCCTATATTCAAGGAAAGGAGAATTAAATTCCACTGTTTGATGGTAAGAGTATTAAAGAATTTAAGGACAAGTTTTAAAATTATGGCCAACTAGTTTGAATTAAGACGTTTATGAGTGATAAATAGCTGAGGAGATTTCCCTTTCATCTTCCATTGGCACATCAAGATCACTACTGTCCTCAGAGGGATGGTGCTTTAGGCATTATGATGGCCCATGGTGGAAGGGAGAACACTTGGAACCCCTAAGTCACAACAAAAAACTATTCCTAGTGCACCCTTCAGAAGTCAACTGGGAGGAATGGTTTGGTAATCTCAGTTCTGCTTGCAGCTGGAAAGGCAAGGCAAGCTGTCGACTATGTTTTACCTCAGTAGAGGGTCAAAGAAACACATATTTCATGCAAACTCTATCAACAAAAAAATATACTGAGTAGCAGATGAAGAGTTTTAAGTGTAGCACCTCATAGAGGGTAAAAACTGCTCATTCTGTGACTAAAACCAAATAAATAGAGGAGATGTCTGGGTAAATACAGCATATTTATGGCATAGATCCAATAGTGACGGTAGATCTTAAAGAAAGAATAGGATTTTTAACTCCTCACCCCATGCCCAGTGAATTTGCAGAACTCCTCAGACTTCTGTGCCAGAGTACTGGAGGGGAGAAAGTCTTCATCCCCCAGCATCTGACACAGTTGCTGTTTTGTTTATCACCAAGGAAAATATTTTTAATTTTAATTTCTAATTAGAAATATTCATGTGATATTTGCATTCTATGACATAGTTATCAGTTTATTTAAAAATAAAATAAATATGATTTTACCCAAAATTTCATAGGTGAAATTGATGCCTGAGAAGTTGATCCATGGTCTAGTCTGAGAGTATTTCTTAAGCCACTTTCAGGTACTGTAAGCTCCATCTGGAAATAAAATTTTAAAGTTTGAGAGAATACGTTTTTATACATTCCAGCCTCACATTGACTATTTAAATTGTAAATCCTTAAGCTTTGTTTACATTCACCAAATAGAAATCAAATACTACATTAAATTATAAGGTTATTAGAATTGTAGACTTCAAAGATCTAAAGAATTCATTACATCATCTCATGTAACCTTTTGTCAGATAAAAATCTGAGTCTGAACATATATAGCAGGTTGCTTAAATTATGCAGCTATCAAATCAAGATAAATAATAAATTATAAATAATAATAATTTAAATAATAAATTATTCTTGGCCATATGTAATTTCCTATGTAAATCCTTGTTTTTGTTTTTATTTGCTGCTTCTATTTTATATACCACTGTTTAAGGTTACCTTTATTTTTCCCCATTTTAAATATTTTAAGAATATATTTTATATATTATATAAATATGTGGGGGGGGTGTTCTAGTTCCAACAATGGTGGAGCAGATTATACTGGACTTATCTCCTTGCCAAAAGCAATGATAAACTGTAAACAATTTATAAAAACCAGTCGTTTGCAGGCTGTAGAGAACAATTGAAGCAGAGAAATGGATCTGATATTACCTTGAAAGTAAGAGAAACTCATTAGGTGAGATTCACACTTAACTTTCATTTAAGAGCTTCATTTTCTGGAAAGATGGGAGGGTAGAGAGCAAGAAATGAAACTTTTGAAAGACAGGAGTAGGTGGGCGGGGAACTGAGTATACTTTTAATATGAGATGAAGAGATATAATCCCTGGACTATGGCAGATTAAATATGATCCCATCCTTCATCAAGAGGCAGAGTCTCCCTTCCGTTTGGGTGAGCTCTGTGCTGTTTTGACCAATAGCATACAAAGGAGTGATGATAATCCAATTTCCAAGTTAAAACGCTTCTCCTCTCTTTCACTTTTCTTCTTTTAGACACTTGCTTCGAGAACCCAGTCACTCAACCATAGGGACAAATTCACATGAAAAGGAACCAAGGCCCCAGGCTGATAGCCTCAGCTGATAACTCCAATTTGCTAAGCCTGTAGCTGATGCATCTTCAAGTGAATAATATAGCCCCAGTCAAGCTGCCCCAACTGATGCCACATGGAGCAGAAATTAGGTATTCAAACTGAGTTTGGCTCAAATTGAAGATTTTTAAACAGAATTTAAAATCTGTTGTTCAAGCCACTAAGTTATAGAGTTATTTTTCTTATACTGCAATAGATAACAGAACAATGGAGAGAACTTAAGCAGATATTTCACACACAGAAAAGATATAAAAATGGCCAATAAGCATAAGAAAAGACTAACAGAATTAGTCATCAGGAAAATAAACAGAAGGGACATCTGAGTGGCTCAGCGGTTGAGCATCTGCCTTTGGCTCAGGGCATGATCCTGGAGTCCTGGGATCGAGTCCTGCATCAGGCTTCCTGCATGGAGCTGCCTCTCCCTATGTCTCTGTCTCTCTCTGTATGTCTCATGAATAAATAAATAAAATCTTTTTGTAAAAAAAGGAAAAGGAAATAAACAGAAAACCACAAAATATATTACTACATACGCATTCATATGTCTAAAATTTAAAATACTGATTCATACCAGCTGCTGAGGATGTGGAAGAACTGGGACTCTCATACTTTGATGAAAGCAAATGGTACAACCAATTTCAAAAATACTTAGGCAAGCTTTTTATATATAGACTTAAACATGTCCTATGACCCAGCAAATTCACTCCTAAATATTTACCCAAGAAAAATGAAAAGATATGTTTACCAAAAATTTGCACAAAAATATTCTTAGCAGCTTTTATCATGATAGCCCAAATGGATATAACCCAACTATCTATGAACTGGAGAATGGACCAACAAAATGTGGTATTATAGAATGGTAAATAAAATTGAATATAATACAAAAGAATAAACTGTTGATAAAAATAATAACATCAATGAACCTTAAAAATATGACATTGGGGGAAAGAGGTCAGACACATAGGGATGCTTACTCTTTTTAAAATACACATACAAGATGTTCAAGGCTAGGCAAAACAAATTCAATAAATACTTGAGCCATAACTCTGTCCCAAGCAGGCTGGTTTCTAGAGCTTGTGACCTAAACCATGATGCTGTATCTATGAATTCATAAAGTTTTTGAAGGAGATATAGAAAATGGTTTAATTGCTTACATTAATGATGAGATCCTGAAGAAGAGATAATAATTAAGAGACAACCGAGGAAGGATAAAACAGGACTCTTAGTTTTGCTCTTTATAAATTTCTATTGTATATAGAGAGAATAAGTATAAAGAAAATCATGTTAAAGCACATCATAACAAAATTGCTAAAACACAAAACTAAAAAAATTAAAGCACAAGAGATAAAATGGTATGTTATGTACAGAGTAATAAAGTCAGGCATGACAGCAGACTTCTTATGGTAAAGTGTGCAAACCAAAAGAAAATGAAGCAACATTTTAAACTACTGAAAGAAGCAACCTATTATCATAGAATTGTATTCCCAAGAAAATTCTCTTTCAGAAGTGAGGGCAAAAGAGAGAGTAAATTAAAAATAGAGAATAAAAGCACAGGGATCCATTAACAGACCTATACCACAAGAAATATTAAGGAGAACTTTTTACACTCTCATTAAAAATCAGAGCTTGTCAGATTGGATTTTTAAAAAGCAACACATAGGGTAGCCTGGGTGGCTCAGCAGTTTTGTGTCTGCCTTCAGCTCAGGGTGTGATCCCAAGGTCCCTGGATCGAGTCCCACATCAGGCTCCCCACAGGGAGCCTGCTTCTCCCTCTGCCAATGTCTCTGCCTCTCTCTCTGTGTGTCTCTCATGAATAAATAAATAAAATCTTTTAAAAAAAAGCAACACATACCTACATTCTGCCTATAAGAAACTCTCTTTGTATAAAGATGTAGAAAAAATAGAGCTAAGAAGATGGAAAAAGAATATCATGCAAAAATAATCAAAGAAATCTGTAGTGGCTATAATTAATATCAGACTTTGTACACTTTAGAACAAGGACTATTATCTAGGATAAAGAAAGACATTACATAATAGTAAAGGGGTCAATTTATCACAAGGGCATAACAATCCTAAATGTACATACACATATACCTAACAACTTTAAGATAAATGAAACAAAAACAATTAGACAACTAGAAAACAGAAGGACAGATCATTCACAGCAATATTAGAAGTTTTAAAATCTTTTTTCTTAGTAATTGATGTACAAATAGACAGAAAATAAACATGTGAACAAAACTATTAACCAGCTTTGACGTAACTGACAGTTATAGAAGACGTCATCCAGCAACAGCAGGATAGAAATTCTTTTCAAATGCACACACAGTATTCGCAAAGAAAGACTGTGTTCTGGGTCTCGGTATATTTAAGGTGATTTAAATCATACAAAGTATATTTTCTAATCATAACAGAATTAAAGTAGAAATCAATACCAGAGCAACTTCTGGAAAATTCCCAAACATTTAGAAAACAACATATGAATTTAAACTTAATCACTAAGAAAATTAGAAAATATTTTTAATCAAAACAAAAACATATAAACATAGGCAAAAAAAAAAACCTATAAAAATGTCTGCAATGTAGCCAAAGCAGTACTTAGAGTAAATTTATAACTTTAAATCCATATGTTTGAAAAAGAAAGGTCTCAAATCACTGAATTTTGTACTTAAATTACAAAAGAAAGGGTAAATAAATATGAAAATTATCAGTAAATCTGATAACAAATTATATGACCCTTTGTCTATTTTGGTCTAATAGTTTATCTTATATTGTTGTTTTCTGCTGCTTTTCTTTTATCATAGCTATAGATTTTTGTTATAAATCATAGCCTTGTTGAAGAAAGCATACTACCATACACAAGAATATATTCAGAAAATTTTTTGAATTTTTATGGTAGAAATTGTGTCAATGAATGACCATATATTAAGCCCCTACCATCTGCCAGCCCTTGCACATATGTTGTTTCATTTAATACCAAGGCTACAGTGGATCCTTAGGGAATTTTGATGATTTAATTTATGATCATCAGAAGCTGCCATTTAAACATCCACATCCTGCAGAATTGGTGGATTTAGTTTATTTTTTCTGTAATGTGTGAATATTAGTTTCCATCACACAAGCACCATGGTGAAAAAAGCCTCTAATAACACTTGGGTTGTATGAGATCAACTTGCTTTCATGAATTATGACATCAAGCAGAATTGGTTTAGAAAACAGCAAACACATTTAGAGAAGTGGTAAGATACAGAGCGCGGATGGAATTTATTTCAATCTATTACTTCCCACAAAACTCAAAGTCAGCCATTACATGATATCACAATAAGTGAAAAGGGGGGACAAAAGTTGTGAAAAGCAAAAGCAAGAGATTATTGCTCCCCTGTTGTCAGCAGTCAGCATTTCTTCTTATCAGTCCCAAGATAATGCATCTCCTTACCTGATGCTTATTTATGTTCATCTGTGGTGAACTTTCTTACTGTTGGACTCCAATTTCCCTTTCTTTGGTTCTGTTTGGGGCACTGTCGCCTGGTTGCAACAGTAACCTCTTGGGGAACAGGTACAGTGTTCATGTAACATTAATAAATGTCACAGATTAACATAGAGGAATTATTTGTTTACTGATAAACTGGCAGAAGATGTCATATAGCCTGAGCTCTTCCCTAAATTAAAGCTAGGTTTAAGAATTATTTTTTCAAAGGTCTATTTTGAATTGTGGGGCTTAATTCCATCTTGAAGGCTATTTGTGGGTCACGCTTCACTTCTTGTGGTTTATGACTTCAACCCAGGCCCTCGATGGGATTATAACCCAACAGTCACAGAGGCTGCTATATATCATCTGTTTATTTTACAACCAAGCACCTACTATACTTTGGTTTTATGTTCAACAAGAACATAAGAGGAAAGGACATGATGGGAGAAGAGGAGCAGGAGAAAAAAATAATTGAACCCAAGCAACAGCTA